ACTTACCCTACCAATGAATCACTTCTTAGGGCTGGAGATAGACTCATCTTGTAAAAGTGGTTGGGATTATTTGCACATCCTCCCAGGTTTTTCTCAGGGGAGAGAATTGATCTGTAAACCTCATCCCAAAGGCTGAAAGATAAGTTGCCATTTTAACTTTTAAAAAACGTTTGTTAAAAAATTAAAAAAATATGTCTATTTACTAGGAAAGTATATATGTGTTTTGAAGAAAATTTGGAAAATAAAAAAATGAATAATGATGAAATCTGTAATCCAAACTTTCAGATATAATTATTAGTATTGACATTTTGGAATGTTTCCTTTTCTTTTAATTTTTTTTCTTGTAAGGCAGATTTGGTCCCTGACTAGAATAATGATGATTAATTTGAAGATTTAGTAATAGGATTTAAAAGAAGGATTTAAGAGTAGTTCTTAACAAAACAGCAGCAGGCTCACAGACTCCTAGAAGGGACTAGCAGTTACCTAAGGGGAGGATTGGGGAAGGGTTGGTGGGGAGGGCGGGAGAAGGGGATTGAGGGACATTATGATTGGTACACATGGTATGGGGGGTCACGGGTAAGACAGTGGAACACAGAGAAGACAAGTAGTGACTCTGTGGCATCTTACTACACTGATGGACAGTGACTTCAATGGAGTATGGGGGGGTACTTGATAATATGGGTGATTGTAGTAACCACAGTGTTTTTCATGTGAAACCTTCATAAGAGTATATATCAATGATACCTTAATTAAAAAATGTATTTAAAAAGGCAGTTCTTAAAACTAAATTACATAAAAGGTTCTATGGAAATGCCAATAAATTCAAAAGAATGGACTTGCTGTTTTGCTAATTCTGTAAAATCAATTTCTTCCTCAGTGAAACTTACTGGGCATGGTTTTGTGGTGAGTGCTAGGTGAAAACACAGCCTTGTGCTCATCACTGGGGTTCCTGGTGGTGAACAGATTCATTTGACTTCTTGACCAGAACTAGCACTTACAACATACTCCTCTTCTGAAAAATTCTCTATGGATTGGCAGTATATTCTTTATTCTGTCAGGTGTAAAAAGGGCAGCTGTTAAAATGACATCCAAAAATCCTGAAACTCACCCTACCAATGAATCACTTCTTAGGGCTGGAGATAGACTCCTTGTAAATAAAGGTAGTTTCCTTGTTTACTCTCGCTATCCCAAGGTCCTCCCACCTGCTTCACACTACTGGATGTTTGAAATACAGAGGCAGATTTATCACCTAATAAGGAATGGACCCACCCTCCATTAAAATAACTTTATAGTAGTCATAGATTAAAATTTTTTTCATGTCCACTAGCCCTGTTGGCTTCAAATCATCTCCCTGCAGCAAAGAAGAAAAATTTTGTGTGTATATGTTTGAAAATTGCTGTATTACATGACAGAAAAGTGTTTGGTCTTCCAGTGACCAAGTTTTCCAACTGATTTTAAGTTTATTGATGTTTATTTAGGTCAAAGCAACCACACTCAGAATACAGATTTTTTTTTTTTTTTTTAAGGAAAAACAATCCCAGGAATCCTGACGGAACAAAACAAGGAAGTTTTATCCTATCCCCAGTCTTCCTCAGGCCTGTATACCCTTTCTTGCATCACTAGCAGCATATTTTCCCTTTATAAGACTCAAGGTAAAATAACATAGTCAGGTGGATGCTTTTTTTGGATTTAAAAAACAAAAACCTTCTAGATAAGTAATCTTTCAAACTAATAGACCAAGATCAGAAGTTGGAGCTGTTTTTCAAATCATCACGATTTGGGGAAGGTGAGAAGGAAGTTGTCCTGGAACCACATTTCTAATAATTACCTTGACATAATTAGCACAAGAAACTTTCGGTGATTAATTATGTGCAAAATTAAGGTAGAGATGGTAAAGGAAGGTTATGGACACCTTTAAAATTGGAGAAGGGCTTTTTGGTAAATAGTAGGCAAAATGTAGCTGCTATTGTTTTGTATGTTTTAACACGCTACATTAACATCTTAGATTTATAGCTAGCTAATTTTGTTAAGAAAATCTTAACTGCCGACTTTTAAAGAACTATGCATGTGATGACTCACCCAGATTCTTAAAACTTTCTTCCTACATTCTCTTTGGGTATTTGGTCACATCTTGCAGGCATTTTTACAGAGTTGTAAACAGTGCATATATAATTTTCAATTCTACGTATTTTAATTAATATATAATCAATCTGTTCTCTAAAATGCCATATAGCCCTTATACTTGTCTTTTCAATAGCTGTATAATCTGTTCAATGGATTACTGTAATTGAAGCTTGTGTTATTGAATAGTTTTGTAAAAATTTAAAATTATGCAGCAGTGAACACATATAATACCATTTTTCTTACTAATTTTTAAATATTGTATTTCAGAGGGGTTTCATTGGGAAGAGAATAAAATAAAGAGCAATTCTTTCAGGCTTGTTGATTTCTAGGTGAAAGAAAATGCAAAGGTGTATTTTGGCTTTGTAAAGTCTAATCCATTTTGCTTTGATTATATACTATGTTAGAAAGTAACTGCTGGCCCACCCTAAGGAGCTGGAGCAGATCTACCTCAACCTTTTTGATCTAATTTTTTTCCCCCTAGGTCAGAAATAAACTCTAAAATAATCTACACACACACACACACACACACACACACACACACACACATACACCTAGACACAATTATTTTCTGTATTGCCAAGTTACAAATTTTTAATTGGAACTTAATTGATTGTCAACTCTTGAGGACAATCAATCCCTAGCATCTAGTCCAATGATTTACATACACACAGGGCTCAATAAATATCTGGTAAGTTGAATGTGTGAATATGAAAAAGATCTTCTTATAATGTCCATCATTGATTGAAACAGCATTCTAATACTTAGATTTGGAAGTGGGAATTTCCTCTTAGTTGGTAAATATAGAACTATGGTCACACTGTTTTAAAAGCTTCAGAGGAAGTTCCTACTTCCCTGCGACTAATTGTCTTGGTAACAGTTGTCTAGTACTACTGTTTCCTCAGTAACAAAGATAGGTGGCTGACTCACAGGTTACTGAGATGTTTCAATTTTTATTAAATAAATGAGGTGTCACAGTTTTGTCTTTTTAAAATATTTTTTCCAATATTGCATGAATTTTTTCCTGTTGGAAAAAGAATGTATACTTATATATACAGAAGTATATATAAATGTAAAACTCCTCTTCACTCCCACCCACTAGTTGGCCAATCAGAGGCAGTATGTCTTTAACAGTTGAGTTTGTTCTTCCACACATTTTCCTTTGAAAAATTCAAATGTTGCGAGTAAGGCTTACATTCTCTTTGATACTCCTTCAGTCTCCTTTAGTGTGACTCCTCCTAGGTCTTTTTCTTTTGTATTCTCATAAATGTACCCACATAGTATATGTGGGTGTGTTTACATGCTGAATTTCATCGATTCTAAGATTATTATCTCGTACTATTACAAAATAAAAACCGATTATAACTGTAAAATACCATACACTATAAAACCTCATCTTTTAGAGATGTTAAAATTTGTGGTCGTGGAGTGTATAGAATTGATGGAATATATGGGTGCTGTGTTTGCATATAGTTTTCTGCAGCTTGCTTTTTTTCCCTTAGCAAAATTTCCTATAATTGCTTCATTTGAATGACAGTCTGAATATAGTGCATTATCCAGCTGTTTCCTTGAACTTCTCAGGCGCTTACAGTAACAAGCAGACAGTGCTGTAATGAATAGCCTTACATGCCCCTGCGTCTACATGTTTGGATACTTACCAGGGATAGAAAATGGGAGTTGGAACTGTGGATCATAGGCACACACATCTGTAATTTTGAAGGATATTGCCAAATTACCCTGCAATGTAACTGAAAGAGTTTATATATTCAACATTAGTGTATGAGAGTGGGTACCTGTTTGTCCCATTTTATCAACTCTTGATGTTAACTTTTTTGACCTGTATGAGGGCAGAGGAGATCTTGCATTTTAAGGATTCAGTTTTCATTTCCTTGACTAGTAAGTTTGGCTCTCTTGGGATGCTTATTGGCAACTTCGATTTTCTCTCATCTTGTGTATCCTGCTTATAACCTTTAACTCATTTTGTCATCCATCATCAGTGATTTTATTAGGTGACTACTATGTACTTGGATAAAACTTGTAGCAATACATACTACTTCCTACCTCCTTTTTTTTCTTTTAACTTAGTAGTCTCTTACTATCATTAGAATCAACCAATAGTTAATGCTACCATTTATCAAAGAAGCAGAATTACTCTCCACAGATTTTCCATTTTACCTGCACCTGTTTCATACTGCTTTTGAATGTTGGTGGTAGCTAAAGTCAAACTGGCTCTGCTCTTAACCATCCTTTGGAGACCTGCCAGAGCCTATCATAATATGAAGGAAGGAAAAGGATCTAATAGTTATTAACAAAACTCATAACCTCTGAAATAGTAGGGGACTCCTCACTTTATTGGTGAACAAACTGAGAGGTTAAATGGTCCTAATGCTAGGAAATGTCTGAGGTGAGATTTAAACCTAGGTTGTCTGATTCCAAAGCCCCTTTGACCATGTCACACTGCCTTAGTGGGATGGATTATGTTTGGAATATAGCCTTTCAAAGTATATGTAATCTCTTGTGCATGATCATATTAAAAGTGATTGATATAAAATTATTAATAAAAAACTTTAAAAATGATTGTACCTTTTTAATATGTGTGCAAGACATCAAGTGGTACTCTCTTATATGTGTGCACCTGACTGTAGCTTGACAGAATGGTTTCCCTGTTGTAGTTTTAATATATATATTAGTACTTGGCTTCATTTTAAATTATTCAGCCTAAAGGGTTACTGTCTTGGGCTCTATTAAAATTTGGTCTTTAAAATAAAAAATTCACTATAATAGTGTTATAACATACCTTATAGAAAAGCTTCATATACTGTTGAAAATATGTATTTTGCTAATGCTAATTGTTCTTTCTGTGCTTCTGTTTCTCACAGAAAAAGATGGTAAAGCATTTCATCCAACTTATGAAGAAAAACTGAAGCTTGTGGCACTGCACAAGCAGGTTCTTATGGGTCCATATAATCCAGACACTTGTCCTGAGGTTGGATTCTTTGATGTGCTGGGGAATGACAGAAGGTAACAGTGTTTTGTTGTGTATGAATTTTTTTTTTTTTTGATAATTATTTTTTATTGAGGAGTAGTTGACACACAGTATTACATTAGTTTCAGGTGTACAACACAGTGATTCAACATTTATATACATGATAATTCTAGCTACCAGCTATCACCATACAAAGTTGTTACAATATTTTGACTATATTCCTTATGCTATACATTACATCC